AAAAAACCCTCCAAAACCTGAATTTGTGTCACTCTTCCTCTCCTACTTCCCCTTGCATTTGGGGTGGCAGAAGAGGTGGATAGAAGTAATGATCTGATGAGCCTCATAAGTGCAGCCTTAAGCTAGCTGAAATATTTTAGGAAAATGGTGTGCACATATCTGTAAATGTAAAAGATTAAGGAAATAACTAGAAGAATCTAGGAACGAATTAATTTTAGAAAGAAAAAGAAGAAAGCAGTTGAATGGCRAGGATGCTGCACTGAGATACATTAAAAATTCAAATGAATCTCAATGTGAGTCAACACACTGCCTTAACAAATGAACATGGTGGCAAAGGGTAGCTTTTGCTGCTAAGCTGACAAAAATAAATTAGTCACCTGTTGCTACTTGCTTAGAATTTACAAACACATCAATTTTTGAGGGAAGAGCGGAAAAGAGCCAGCATATATTTTTCCCCCAAGAGCACTGTGCACAGGGAGAGAAATGCTTAGTCTTCATTTACACATGACTTAATCCCCCACTGTATGGTAAATACCTTGTTTGGAAAGTTACATACCAGCTGAGATGGTTTTTTTAAGAGCTACATTGGCTGAGGAACAGTTAGGGACAGCTGTGGGGCTCCTACATGCTGCAAGTGACCCCACTGAGGATGATGTTCAACGTGCCCTGGCAGTGCAGAGCGCCTGGTGCCTCATGAACCTGCATTAACCCATTGCAGATATAAGATGCACCTGCTCCAGGCCAGCTGGAACCACACACACAAAGCCAAGACTGAGCTATTCACCAATGCAGGCAAATGTTGGCATTTACTAGAGATTAAAGACAGAAGATAGCAGCTAATGTCACAGCTCTGTCACAGCTCTCCTCTTCTATACCAAGAAACAATCATTCCTTATGTTCCTCAGGTCTCGATCCTGAGACATCCTTTGGAGCCATTGGGACTCCATTTGGGACACCCTTTGGGGCCATTGGGCTGGTCCCCCTGGAGTCCCTACTGAGCTGAGATCACCTTGGAGGGTGCCCTGGGAAAAGGTCTTCTGCATCACCATTCTGCTGCTGGCAACGGCCCCTGAGGCTTTTCCCCAGGTTCCCCCCGTCGCTCAGCCCTGTACCTAGGGGCTGCAGCTCACCTGACCACCAGAACTTCAGCTCTCCACTAGTCACCACATTGCCCTAAGCCTTTGCTTCAGGCCAGTCCCGTGTGCCATCCATCCCCGACACTGATGGCCACAGCAAGCACCAAGAGGCAGCACAAACAGATGGGCCTCAACAAGCTCTCTAGACCTCTGGTTGTCAGCATCCCACATTCTCCAGTCTCTTTTCCTCAGCTCCCAAATTGTCTCTTTTCGTGTCTATGGATTTCTACAGGGCCATTTTTTTTTTACTTACTGGCTTGGGGGACTAAGTAACTCTTGCAGATAAGACACTTAAGGTTGGGAATCAAAGCTCAGCACAGCAGAGCTCCCACTCCTGCATGGCAAAAGACCTCGAGCAACTAGTAACTCTAGGAAGTAAAAACAAATCCCCTGACCAACATCATGCTGAGAGGGMTACTTCTTTTTCCTGGTTAATCAATATGGTCCAGCCATGGTTTGGCTCCTTTTTTTCCTGTAATTAATATTCCTTTTGACTTTAACTTCCACATGCAACCAAGCAAGTATTTATCAAGGCAGAAAGATCAAGTGAAATATCCAAAATGCCAAAGAAAGAAAATTGAGAATTGATATTGTTTAATATTACTGTGGAACTTGATACTTGATTATGCTCCTTCAATTAAGGAACAGAAGCACTTTATGCAGTGAACCCTGAATGTCTGAATCACAAGGAATTGCGGGTGAGCAGCCCCAGCCCCAAAATCATTCACAGGAATTAGCTGGGAAATCAGAACAAGCAACAAGCTTGAGAGAGCAATGATCCTGCCACAGACTACCCACAAACTCAGAAAGCAGGTGATGTTCAGGCAGCCAAGTGATTTGCTACAAATTATTTGCCCAGGGCCAAACTTGCTGCTAAAGTGATCAGAGAAGATGCACTACCTGGAGCGATGCAGGAACACAGTTAAGACTAACAAGCTGCTATACACATCACTTTAATTAGGTCAAATGAGGAAGTGATAATAAAACAGCAGGTCAAAAGAAAAAAAACTTGCACTGAACAAAATAAAATTATTTCTTGTGTTGCGACAAAACAGTTTTAAAGTTTTTTTTAAGTTGCAGCAAATGCAATACTCAAATTTTCACCAAAAAGGCAGTGAGTTTGAGAAGAGCTCATTCACCCACCAGCACATTGGCCAGGCTGCTGCTAACTCCAATCCATCTCAATATTCAGAATTTGACAATATTTTACCAGCAACAAAAGGCTGGCTGTGCAGAATTGTTACAAACTAGAAGCTGGGAGACAAGGATAGGCATATTATTTCTTGAAATATTCTATTAGGGTCTATGGCAACGAGACTTCTTTTAGACACAAACCATAAGGCTGAGAGGTATCCATCATGCTTAGCTTTTTAACCAGGGATACTATCAGTGTGATCACGAGGTGATAAGAAGAAAGTGATTGGAAGTTGATGTGTTATTGCTTAATTTAGATAGAGGAAACCTTTTTTCCCCCCACGTCTGTATACCATCTGCCAGCCTAGGAACCCAAGGAATAAGGCACAAGATGCAGATGGCTTTTATAACTGCTGTATTCAAGCTGCAGGGAAGCAAGGAGAATAAAGGCTGTATAAATCAAGCAGCAATATCACCATAGCTGAGCAATAACCAAGCCGACTGCAGTGTTCACTGGGAACAGAAAAAGCTAGAGATCCTTTTCCCTTCTCCGCATTAAAATTCAGAGGCAGTAGGTTGTAAAGCAAGTCCCTTTGCCCAGGGCGACAGGAACGTCTGCCCCGGCTCTGTTACGGCACGCAGACCTTGGCTGGACTCCTGCGCAAAACCAGCATGAGAGCAGAGAAGCAGTCTGGCTCTCAGGCTCAAGTCTGAATTCGTCATTCATATCTGGGATGCAAGAGGGCAGGACACGGATATGCAGGACAGACCTGGGAGCTGCACCTGCCTGCAGCTGGACAGCTCCCAGCTGGGGTAGGGAGCTCTCCTGACCCCAGCGCAGACACAGGCAGGATTGAAGCTCTCAGCAGGACGAGCAGCCCCACAGGAAGGGCCATCCGGAGCGTTGACCCATGGGGCTGCTCGATGCAGACAGAACAAAATCTACTTAGAAATTGCGTTCACATACGCAACAGCTCCCAAGCAAGGTCTTCTCCTTTCCTTCCCTTTTTTTCCCTGAGGAAAAGGAGGGCAGAAGCTAATTTACTTCAGCTCAGCAGCGAGCAAAGCAGCCCGGGTGGAGGCGCGAGGCTCCGGGCACCGCGCGCAGGCTGCCGAAGCAGCTCCCCGGGACCAACACCYGAGCTGTGCTGGGGAGCTTGAAAGGGGCGCTTGGCTGATCTGGTTTCAGCAGAGCGTAGGTGCGCTGGGCACAGGACAGCTTTGCATTAAGAGGCTGCTCAATGTTTTCCTCTTAAATAACCAAACAACCACATTTACACAAATATGTATAAACAAGCAGTCGGCATGACATTGCTGGAACCAGGTCCCTGAGAGGGACTGCAGGATTGACAGGAGAATCACTGGAAAGTGGAGGAGGGGCTGGGGCAGGGAAAAGTAGATTTAATTCTATTTGTTAAGTATGTACATCTATATTCATTTCTTTTACGTTTTAATAAAATAGAGAACAGCAGCTTCTTTGTGCTTCATTGCAAAATGTCTCTGGCCCATCTGAGTAGGGGACAGCTCATTGAAACCTTGCAAGTGCTCACACGCAAAAGGTCTGGGGGTAATAAACCCTGCAGGGAAGGAGGGGGATAGGAGCTATTCCTCCTGTCCTCCTGCAGGAGGGAGGCTGAGAAAGCAGAGCTGCCAAGCCTGCAGGAACAGGAAACAACATACCTAAACCAGGCCAAACGAGCAAAACAGCACCACACACTTCACTCCTGCTGCTCAGCTGGCAGGAGGCAGCATCTCTTGAGTGGGGGTCTGTCACTGGAAAACATGAAGACATGCCTGTGCATCATGAGAGCCCAGGGCCAGAACTGCTCAAACACACTCAAAGTAACACCAGAATACTCAGTCCCTTGCTCAAAAAGGTGCAAGATCCCCTGAATATCAGCAAGTCCCAACTGTTCCTTCTGCACCAGGACCAGCCCTGCCTAGGCATGACCTCAGGAGAGCCACTTAAGCACACGTTAAAGGAGGTTGCAGTTCATGTCTCATACTGCCCACCTCGCATAGTCCTTCATGTCTACACAAGGCAAGTGTAAAACATTATTAAATCAAAACAGCAGCACTGTACAGTTATTTTGGGTGCAAGATAAATCCGTCATTTACAAATATGCCCAAGTATCTCTGGTAGGCTGTTAGAGCCACACTGGTTGTTGAGCAGAGAGAAGGGACTTTAGAGAACAGAGTTGGATCCAGTCAGCAAAATGTTACCACAACTTTTATAGCTGAATGTTGTTAAAAGCCGAGGGACTTCACCAAAACTCAGTAGGAAGGCAGGCAAGAGTAAGAAAAAAGCACATAACAAAGATAATTGGGGGGGTGGATTTTTGTGATTAATGCTACTTTTCATTTGGCATCCTTTTTAGTCTAAGAACGTGCCTTATCCTAGGGGATCAGAGATTGAAATGCTGTTGATGGACTCAACACAAGTATTCATACCTCTCACACACACACCCCTCTCCAAGAATTTTATCCCTGGAAAAACTAAATGGAGGTTTTGTTTTTTAACTGAACTTCAAGATTTCAGTAAGACCATATCAAAGAGTTTCCTTAAGGAACTAGGAATCTTACAAGAGAGACCGCGAAAGATAGGAAGGTTCATGTACAATGACATTTTGAACTGATAAAATTTTGTCTATATAAATGTATTAGTGGGGTTGAAGCAGGGCCAGGCTGCCCAAGAAGTGTTCGGTCAACATGACACCACAAGAGCTTTACAGGTATTATTTCTGGATACATTCAGTAATCTTTTTCTGCAGTTACACAGTACAGATCTTACCTTAGAATAGCTCCACAGAGTTCATAATCTGCAGTTTTTTGCAGACTATCAGATGTTTCTGGGCTATTCTGAGAGAAAACACTACTTTACAAAATAACACACTATCAGAGAGCACAGATAAACAGGTTGTTACTTAAGGCTGCATGACTGAGTCGTGCAAGGTCCCTTCTCTTGCTCCTGATCGCCTGGAGCAGGAGGCTGCCTCTGCTGAGGGGCTGCAGAAGTCCAGCCTGGTGCCATTGCCACCTACAGCCACAAACGGCAGCAGGGAGGTGCAGGATCACTCTTGGCGAGATCCCAGGAAGTCAGTGAAGGAAAATGAGGGTCAGTGTCGGCCTGAGAAAATAAATGCAAAGCTGCTGACATGCCTGGGCTGCCTTGAGCAAGCTGCATGCRTTCAGAGACAACCTTCTTCTGTCTTCATTTACAGAAACAGTCAAGTAAAACCTAAGTTTCAACTCAGGTGATGTTACATCAACTCAGCTGCCATCCCAATAACCTCAACCATTAATTCATGAACACCTGCAGTTAATTGGCATCGGTACCAAGGGCTTTTCATGCATCCGTAAATTAGGAAGAAAGAACAGAAAAGACAACGATGCAAGACATAGCTCAATCTCTGAAACAACCTGTTATGACAACATGAGCTGTGAAAACACCTTGAGGCCATCTGTGGCATAAACACATGCAGACTCCAGAGCAACACACAGGTGAGAGCAGCTTTCCCCATTTCAGGGGCAAGCATCMCTTTGATGTGGGCAGAGTTCAAATGAGACATCCAGCCTTCTTAGCCCCAAGTGCATGGCTTGCCTGGGGAACGCTAACCTGTCCCAGGGTTGGGATCTAACACATGTATTTTTCTGGCAATGCAGCTAGACAAGTACTCCCGCACCGCTGCAAATGGAGCAGGAACACAGAGTTTATCCTGCATGTCCAGAAAGGAAATGAAAAAAATGACTAATCACCGACAGAAGATTAATGGCACCCTGTCTATTACTTAAACCCTAGACCACTGCACAGGCTGTGTGCTGAAATGCTGCTCCTGCTGCAGTACAATAGCACCTCTACGAGGCAAACCACCACTTGATTCTTCAGCCTTGCACTCCTCCATCCCCAGCAGCTGAGCTATCCTTGCAGTGATCCCGTACAGGAGCTCGAGCAGCCCCTGGAGTCAGGACAGACCTTACCCAGGGCTCTCCGTGACTCCTGGTGACAGTATCAAGAGCTCAGCACCTCTGAAAACAACTGCTGCCGTTCACAAGGGCACATTGCCATTCCCAGCAGCTGGGTCGCTCACCCTTCTTCTGGCAGCCCTTGAGTAACAGCTCAAATGGGCAGCCGTCTCTGCCACAGGGAACACACAGAGTCACTTTTAGCATTAACAGAACACTGATGCACCTGGAGGTCTCTACCTCTTCCTAGAACCCTTGTTGCAGTCTCCAAAACCTCAAACAGGCCTTGTAGAACTTCATCCCATGTTTGAGATTTTCATGCCAAACACAAGGCTGGATTTTGATTGGCTGGGTTTCATCTGTGATTCCACTGTCATTTTATGACTTCAAGAAACAGGAAGGATTCAAGATGGGCATGCCATTATGGTTATAGCTCCTCTTGTGAAGGAGGGGTTCCTTTGGACTGTTTCTGCAAAAGGCATAAAGTAAAAATGCCCTCTTTTAAGCAGGAATCCAAAACTGGAGAGATTTAGGGTTCTGCAGACCACAGTACGTGAAGATCACTTCTTTAAGGCAGCCCTGAAGGCCTGTGACATGGTTCGTGAAATACTCTGGACAGCTCTACTCTACCCCCGCCTCCAGAATTTGGACAACAGCCATTCCTTTGATAACACCCTTGTCTCATATAAACAAGGCACTGCCCTTTACTTAAGGTTTGGCAACTGATCTAAGGCACTGGCACTTCAACTTTTTAATATTTCTTAGAGTGCAAAATAGGTTTGGAGGAGAGTAATTTACATTAATACTTAGCAAAGTACAATTCTGGTAAAAGCGTGGGGTGCAAAATATTTTTCCTAAGCCATCCTCACATTCACTATAGGGACAGCAGCTCAGAGAATATTGCAAAAAGCTCATCCCCAAAACCCAACCTTGAGCACAGAGGCTCTGGCAAGGCACCTCTTGGCCACATCCATTCTAGCCCATCCACATGGCTCAACCTTCCAGTCATGACCCAACATTTCTCTTAAAAGTCTTATAAGTAAAATTATGTCCAGAAACAGAACAGAGGGAGTGAGTGCCCAGAGAAGCAAAAGAGCAGCATGCCTGACCACAAACCAAATCAATACAACATAACACTAAGCCAGATACAGAATGAAAATAAAAATAAATGGAAGTGAGAGGACAAGCAAGTAAATAGAGGAAAAACTACCTTATCTGATAAAAAAGCAAACACAGAAATATATTTAGGACATTTACTGTGTCTACAGGCCTATAGTCAGCTGAGCACTAAACACAGGCTGTTTGCTCAAATACTTTACAAATAGCTGCTCATACAAACAGCTAGATTGCATGTGAACAAAGATGTCTGTGCATCAAAAAAATATTCACTATTCATTAATGTTAATTCTCTGTTCAGAGTACACAGATAACCCACAAAATAACATAAAAGCAGATGTAACAAGTACTTTATGTGAACAGTTGCATAGCGCAAATCAGAGAAAGTATGACAAATAATCAGAAAAAGCTTTTTACAAATTAAAAATAAGTTTAGGCAAATTATGCAATAAAACTGAAAAACGAAGGAATTAATAGATCGGTTTATAAGGAACTCTCATAAGAAGGGGCTCTGTTTGTTGGATGATCTATTAGCAACGAATAACTCAACTGTCTGTAATATTCAGGCAACCAGTATTTATGTATCTATGCCGTTTATGAGAAAGTATCAAGGTAAGAACGTTTTGTACCTGATTAGACTGGCTAGGTTGGCAGCTTCCTCTGCTCACTTTATGCAACATGAGTTTCCTTGGAAGAAGGTCTTTAACAAGCTGAATATCCTAGTAAGGAGACAAAAAAAAAAAAATCTAAATTACGGGTGAAACACCAGAGCAAGAAGAAAATAGTTTTCAAGTTAAACATAAGCATCCACAAATGCTCCAGCTGGATGCAATTCACTCTTTCATCCTTACAGTAAGAGAAGGAGTGACAAGGATGGGTCTAACCAGCACATTCAGCTCAACTGAAGATGAAGTATAGATCTCCAGGACACAAAGTATACTGATTTTTAAAGCACATACACATGCAAACAGAGAGTAAAACTGGGCAGTTTGCTCTGCACAGGGTTCACAGAGGGGGCACACAGCTATTTACAACAAGGAGCATTAAAATGACAGTGACACATGCTACTCAGAGGTGATCATTATTACTGGCTGCTTAAGGGATAATTTGAGAAATGATCTGTAAATTTAATTTTTAATTAAGCCAGAAGCCCTAAGGGTCTTCTGAGTTCAAGCATTAAGCGGGGGGAAGAGGGGGAAATCAATTTCTGGTGATGGAGAGGTCTAGTAGAATCTAATTGGCCTGGGTAATATATCAAGAAGCTTTTAAGATCAGTCAAACAGCTCAACAGAAGAAAGCCTAAAACCCAATTTCAGATTAAAAAAAAAAAAAAAAAAATGCTGTATAGGGCAGTGGATAGTCACCATTGTTCAAGCCTCTGGAAAGCTACTATCTTCTGCTCTGACACACATATTACTCAGAAAATAGATAAACGATCATGCCAGAGCACAGAACTTCACAGGGAACTCTCATGTTTAAGCTACAACAAACTTGAAAAAAACAGCCATCTCCATATGACTTTGCAACTGCACTAGAGCTGCAACATAGCCAGGGAAGTTTACATTAATTAATAAGAATTAGTCAGCAAAATCTCGTGGAGGGAGACTATTTTGTGTTGAAAGAGATTTTTTCCCCCCATGGAAACCTGACAGGTTTCATGACCTGTCATGAAACATAAGTCAGGAGGAATCACTGGTGGCAGGTTGCTGCCAAAATGCCCCATATCTTGCATCTATGCCAATTTAATGGCAAAACTCCTTTATCACAATGTAAAAATGATCTAATCCCAGAGGGCCCAACCCCAGAGTTATTTTTTCTTTCCAACAAACGCATAAATATTTTTCTTTGGCAAGGACATGGAGAGCACAAAATAGTTACGTTGATATGAAAAGAGGCCAATATGAGAAAATCCCCTAGTTACACAGTGCTAGCACTGCAGAACTCATAATTAAACTCCAATTCCTTTACAACCCAAGACAAGTTCCAGACTGTGGGCTGAAAATATATTTCTAACAGATCTTCAGCATTTAGGACCATCTGTTTCCTTTTTGTGTGAAGTATTTTTATTTGCTGTAAGTAATGAGATTAAAGATTTAAGAGGCTGGTTATTAATAAAGGAATTTGAAAAATTTGCAGAAGAGAAGAAATCACATTTTGCAGACAGTTAGTCCAGGCATATGCTTGAAGGCACTATAGCCTGTTAACAGCCCCAAACCCAGGTTTAGACTCAGAATAAAGGGGAATTCACCCTCAGCACTGAACCACCCTCTATATAACAGTACTTGGGAGAGGAAGAGATGAATATTTTCTACACCAGCCACTCATCCAGCTCCCAGGGTGCCACAAGATCACCAGCTCAGCTGGGTCCCCATCACGGGCTGCAGGGCTGGCACAAAGCTGAGGCACAGAGCACCACATGGCCGGAAACCAGTCAGTTACTTTCACACACAAGAAGCCAGATGATATCCTCTGTGACAAGAGATAGGAATTTAAGTGTGATAAACTTCCTATAACCAAAGACAGCAAGATCTTTTTTAAATTATGCCAAGAGGCTATGTCATCATTGAACATTCAGCAACAGCTTTCCATAACCATAGCATAACCTTCAGCCAGCAGCCTCTGTTATCACAGCTCTGCTGTGGCCAAGACAGATGTGTGAAATATATTTTCTGCCGACTGCTGCTGATGTAAAGAGAAGACCCTTCTCCCCTTGCTTTTGTTTCTGCTCGGAGCAGGCACAAGGGATCCTACTCCTCCTTCACATCTGCCGGCACTGTGATCTCTCTCACTCCCACACACTTCCATGGCTGAAATTCCTCTCCACAAAAGCCCCAAAGGAGGGAAGCCACTAGCCACAGCAGACCTGAGGCAACCTGATGCAATCAGAGCTTTGCAGGCAACCAGTACTGTCTGCTCACACAGGGCTTCATGCCACAGGGCCCCAGCAAGAGTTATTCAGGGCATCTGTCCTCAAAATGGTTTGTTCTTCAGCACTGCAAAGGCAGTTGAGCTGGTACATAAACCTGAAAACACATCCACACAAGCAAGCACACGTGCCATCTTCCAGCCACAAAACACCAAAAGTCCAGCCTTGCAGAGAGCTAAGCTCTTCACAAGAGGAGCTATGCTTTCCAAAACCCCCTTGCACAGGGCTGCCAGCCAGATTATTCCCTCTCACATGAAGCAATGGACAGCTAAAACAGTCCAGAGCAGCAGCCACCTTCTCTTCCCCTCTCATGCCATCTCAGCCTCCTCTTCCTCCTATTACCAAGCTTCTGCTGCACTCCCCCAACCATGCAGTCACTCACCCCTACCAGATGCAGTCTCCATCACCTGCACTCAGAGGTCTCCACTGCCCCAAGCACAAAGGTAGGGCCTCAAACATGGAGAATTCCACTTCTCTGGGAGAGCAACTTTCTTCCTCACCCCTCAGAGCAGCCATGACCCAAGGGCGTGGAGCTCTCATTAGCACCAGCTGCAGTATAATGAGGCCTCCTTAACGAGGCTCAGCTGAGGGACCCTCCTTTGCTCTCCTGCCTCGTGCAGGGTCACAGCTGCAGCAGATCACGCAGTCCTGGTCCTTACCGCTCCTCCTCAGTGCTGCACCAAAACGCACTCTGCAGCGAGCCAGGAAACCCTTCCCAGAGCAGAGGCCAACCGCATGGGGCGTCATCCACACTGCAATGAGGACAAAACATTGCTGCACCCAACTTGCAGAAGACGGGTCTTAAACCATAGAATAAAAACTGTAGTATGAAGACTACAGTCTTAAACTGTCGTTTAGTGGTTCCAGTTCTGCTTAGGAGGTCCTCATCAAGGCTTCACCAAACACTAACACAAGGCCTTAAACACACCAGCTCCATTTTTTTCCCCAAAGGAACCTTACTGCAAGGGACAGAAACCCAACTCTTTGTATCAAAGCAGTGTTACAGTATCTCCTTCCCCATCCTGGAGAAGGAGTGTTTGGTCCGCAGCGGACATTTACTTACTCCTGCACAACTGCACAGGACAAGGGCGCTCTCTGGTACCAGATCTGCTGCTCTCACTCAAAATAGAAATGTTTTCTTGAGGTCTTACTTCCAGTACCAACATCTGAGCATTTAAAAGGGACGCTGTTAACTAACAGTAGCGTCCTGGTGCAACAGCACTGAAGTGTTTAATGCAGCTGGCTGGGCTGTGTCAGCTGCTCACTGCAGTCAGTCCCTAAATCTGTACTGCATGTGCTGCCTGCATAAATAATGAACAAAACAATAAATTTGGTCGGGTCACCAAACACTTCCACTTCACTTCTCTTGAACCTCTTAAATTCTACTGTGATTCATTTGCCGGGCTGGGTCCCAGGGAGGCACTTCCTGGAAGAGGGGCATCTATTTCTCTGCAGTGCTGGAGCTTCCAAAAGCAGTTCCCAATTCAGGTGCTGCTTCAAAAGCAGTTCCTTAACCTGCAATCTCTCTTTCCATCTGTCATCCTATTTTGAGGCAGGGAGCGAGAGAGAGTCTCTTTAGAACTACTGTATCTCACCCTGTTCCAGGTACAGGTCATTGATTTCGAGGTTGAAATCTCAGACACTCACATTAGGTTTTCTTCTTAATGAAAATCTATGACATCAATTTTTCCTCCAAGACAATGCCACAAGAAGTAGCTTGCTATTATCCTTTACGAGAGAATCAGATCCACCTCCCTGCACTGACGTGGTAGTGTGGGGAGATGTCACCACCCTCCACAGGGCAAGATCCAGATGCCCAGCGGGATGCCCTGGATCCACTGCTCTGCATGAGCCTTGGGCACCAAGTGAGCAGTCTGATAGTGGGGCTGCAACTGAAAGGCAATTTAGGAGTCACAAATATTCCAGTCATCTCTTCAAATGCGATGCATCATATAATTCACGAGTTTTCCAGCTGTGTTCTACAACCACAGTGTCTTTCTAACTTCCTAGTACTATATTCATATGTATTATAAGGCAATGCCTAACAAACTGAGTAAGGATGAAATCTATTGTGCTGGTTTAGTATAATCATATTCAATACTCAAGGCAAGGATCAGGCTCTGCAATCAGATCTGATGTAGCAAACGAAGAGGGAAAGAAGAAATCACTGCAGTTTTCCAGAGACAGGCCTGCCCGACAGCAGGCAGCAAAACACGGCAGAGCTGGGAACACACGTTTCCCACGCCCTGGGACACTCCTTCAGCAAGACCACACTTATCTACCAAAAGTGCATCACCACTTACATAGCAGATATAAAGCAGTTAATTCACAGCCACACCAGAAGCCAATCTCTCTCCTCAATTCCCTTTAGGATATTACCTGGCTAGGTTATTTTAATAGAGACTGGTGTACATTTTATTGAAATGAAAATCAACAGAAGTCATTCCATTTTATCATAAGAATATTCTAGCAGATACTAGCAATATAGATATTATATGAGGCCTCTACCACTGCAAAGCATTGCAAGGTTATAAAATTGTAGGATCTGGCAATTAAATTAAATACAGGTTCTCGGCACATTTCTTTATGTAGCTATCTTCTTTTTCCCTTATGCTATTTTTGCTTAATTCACCAACTGGGCAGCACAGAGTTTGCACAGAATGTACTCCCTGTTCTACCTCTGCTTGGACATTCAGTTTCAAGATGTCATCTGTTATCAGATAGGAAACAACAAAGGATAGGACTTAATAAACTTAATATGTAAACAGCATCCAAACAAGGTTTTTTTTTTTTTTTTTAATTATACTGTAAACATAAAGGCAGTTTTTATATCTGGACAAATGTCTCTTCCAGTTGGAATTAATTTGTGTTCCCTGATTGCACTTTTGCTATAATTACTTTTTCCTACAGAATGACTGCTTTTTGTGCATGTGTTTTATCATTTTATTCAGTCCTTATGGCTTTTGGATCTCATCACATTCATGGCATACCACACAAATTTTTGCTTGCCCCAGCTGACTTATTAGTTATCAGATACTCCACCTCTGGCATATTTATATCCATTTCTCCACTGTTGAAAGAAATCTTCCGAAATAGCAGTACAATCAGATACTCTAATGAACAGCTCCATAGCATGATTTTTCTTATTTTATCACCAGAAAAAAATCAGCAGATTCCACTTTCTACTCAGTTATTTTCCAGTCATGATTTTCTATTTCAAAATAATTTCTATTCTTCTTTTACATCAGGCTCTGCCAGTTTGTACCTTACAAATCATATTGTCATCCTGATTGTGGGTTTTTTCTTTCCTTTTTTTCCCCTGAATTTTGAGCTGCCAGTTTGCAAGGCATATTCCTGGAACATGTGAGACATCAGTACCTGCCTTTTTCTCTAGAGAGCTGCTATTTATTTTTGCTGTCCAAGTTCTCTTTATGCAAGAGGACTTGATACACAACAGTGCACGGGCTGTCAAGGAGATGCTGACCTGGGACAAACCTGCAATCTGTGTATTGGTTTTGGAGCCATAAGCATAACATGATGGGAATTCTACCCCATCCTCCACAGAACATCTCTGTTCTCAATGGCAGTTGCAGGCCAATTCACACGACTGCATTTGTTAGCAGCATGGAGGTGAGGTGTACTTTATCAGTTGAGGTAAGCCGTTGCTAACTTCCAATAAAATTTAAAAAATAACTGCAATAAAATAAATTAAAAAATGTATTTCACATGTTCATAGAGCATAAAGTCTCCTCTTTTTGTTGTTCTTGGAACCCTTTATAATCTGCCTAAGTCAACATGCGGGAAGGGCAGAAAAGACCTACCCCAAAACGCTCAGCAGAGCTCTCTGATTCTCTTCTCTCTCTCTTCTGCTTGCTTTGTCATTTATCATTGCAGCTTAACTAAGCAGACAGCAGTGGTTTGCAAGCAGTCTTCAGGGAAACCCCTTGGCCAGGTTTGAGCAATGGTTTCCATCGTCTTGGGCTGCCCAGCTTCATAAGGATGTTGCTGCTGCTGCCGGGAGTGAATGATGGGCAGCTAGTGTGTTCATTAGCCTCAACTGCAGCTAGATCAGAGACATGCTTCATGGCAGCAATTAATGTTTTTTATACTAAATGCTGCTTCTTCTCTTAGCATTTTCTTTTATGTTTTTAAGCTCTAGAACAAACTTCCTTCCTCCTTCAGAGAATATTAGCCATTCCCTGCCAGATAGGAACTGCAGCAAATTTGGCCTCCAAGCCTCRAGTCATTAAATGATTTGAACATGTGCATTCAATTAAGCAGCACTATTCACATGCTTAAGTTCACAGAKAAATGGTTGGCCTGTGTCAGCCTTCGGCTGCAGAAGAGGATGTGTCCAAGTCCAATCTGTTCACCATTATACCTGTGAAACAAAGCATGCCTCAAACAAGCCTTACTGAATTAGGAAACATCCAGGTTCCTCGGCACTTGTTTAATTACAACATCCTATTTGTAGAACATAAACATCACTGAATAACATAATTTCATCAAACACAGAACMGTAATATTCAAGTAACTGAAGCATAAATATAGTTCACCTTAGGCAAGAGATAAATTACATTAATAAAGTGTGCTAGTGTTCTTTAATCAGTTTGATTAGGCATGACAGAAGATGATATTATTCAGAAAAGCTCCATTTTCTGAATTAAGGAACTGTTGGTGTCAATCCCAATCTCTGCTTCTTTAACAGGTTCATTAATTGATAGAGTATTGAAAAGGGAATTTCACAGAGTAGGCAAACATGGGGCCATGAGCAGAGGCTGGTGCTGCTACACTTGTCATTGGTGTCTGTCTTACAGGGGTTCGGATGTGCTCAGCTCCAAGGGGATGCTACAGATGGACATGATCAGCTGGATTTCAGCAGCTGTGCCTTCAGCCCCACTAAAACCTCCCAGGCTCTTGGAAGAACAGACAGRCTTACTGTCAGCCCACAGGCACACTTTTACAACTCCATTTCTGAAATACAGAGAGACTAAATAAAAAAACAGTTTCACTACCCACTAAGGTAACACAAAAGCTTTAGAAGATTCTGCTTTATCAAAATGTCCAGCAAAATGCTCTAACCCCTTTATTGGTGAGATGGAAACTTCAGGCATGGTTCGTGTGCACTCTGGCAAATATTAGGAATTTACCAGATTATGTGGTAAATATTCCTGTTCTGACCAAGGAGCATCTCAAGGACAGTCCTGCGACACCACACTCAGCCACGCACTCTGCTCACGGTCTCTAGTCAGATGTGCTTCCTCCAGCCAAACAACGTGAGTTGATACCAAGATACAGGGTGTTCCAAGAGCTAGAAACAGACTGAGCTTATTCACCTTCACGCTCTTACCCTTGAGAACCAGCAGAGTTTACTTACAGTCAAAGGACACTCAAGGTTTTCGCATCTCTTCTGAAGTACGTACAGAATGACTGTTCATCCACCCTTGCAGATCCCTCCTTAATGCCTGCCA